CTGTAACGCATCGCACGATTTTTCACCCACTTACAGCCATCTGACAAAAAAAAGTTTAAAACAAAAGTTGAACGGTACAGGATGTCCAATAGATGATAATAAAAAAAATTTCGAAAACTGTTTGTTTTCACAGCTAAACCGTGGTCACTTTGGATTAAACAAATAGGAGCACATAATAATTTTTCCACCGTATTGTAGACAACATTGAGACGAATTCAAAACACATATTATATGACATTTTTATTAACATGTTACTCCATTTACAGTAGTGGAAATGTGAAACATTTAGCTTCTCGTCGTATTTGATTCTAAGACGGTGTAACATAGTTGACCTCAGATTAATGAATATGAACATAGGACTAGAATTTATTTGCAATTTGTCATTGCGGTTCCTTCGTTTCGTATTTTCAATACTTGGTGGAAAGTAATCGCTTGCAACAATGTGTTCTTTTTCTAATTTCGGGAGAGTTGAAATGTTGTTAATTTTTGGCAAATGCAAGAAAAATTCTCGAGAAGGTACCAAAGTGTACAGAGATAGATTTCCGCAACGAAAGCAACCTTCTGAAGCAACGATTTCCACTACTGTAAATGGAGTAACATGTTAATAAAAATATAACATGTGTTTTGAATTCGTCTCGATGTTGTCTACAATACGGTGGAAAATTATTATGTGCTCCTATTTGTTTAATCCAAAGTGACCTCGATTTAGCTGTGAAAACAAACAGTTTTCGAAATTTTTTTATCATCATCTATTGTACATCCTGTACCGTTCAACTTTTGTCAGATGGCTGTAAGTGAGTGAAAAATCGTGCGTCGCGTTACAGGTAATACCCTGTATATACAATTATTATATTCAATTTCAAAAATGTATAAAATAAAAAAATACGCATGAAAATAAATTTCAATTATCGACTAAGTTTATAAACGGTAAACTTCCTTATAGTATCACCAGGTGGCGATGCTTTCACTGTTTCAGTACTCCCATAAATTTTATAAATTTTTGTCCGTGTTTAGTTTTAAGAAAATTAGCAAATTGTAACTATTCAGTTTACAAAGTTTTATTTCAAACTTTTGCATAAAATGATTTAAAAGTAATTGAAATTGACTGTATATAAAATAGTGTGTAACAGAATCATTTGCGTATAATAGAATTCCTATTATTGGAATGTTAATATGCATGTTAAAACTTGAAAGATTAATTTTTGGAGGTTAATGAATTTTTATTAAACATCTGAATGATATAACAGTGAGGGAAAAGAGAAATTTCGTTAATTTGCAGTAAAATAGATTGTAAGTAATAATATAAAAATATATTATAGTTTTATATAGAAATAGTTGTACATACACACACAGATACACACACATATATATATGTAAATGTACTAATCGATATCATATCTAATTATTTTCGTATTTTTTCAATATAATATATAATGAATTCCGTTACAAATAATCGTATATTGTTGATACTAACATTGTAGTTAGTAATTTACGATAGAATATTTTTATTTTTATACATTGAATTTCATATTTCTTTCTTTATATTAAAAATTTCTGTACGAAAGACAGTTCTATATGCGCATGCGCTGCCTAGCGACTGAAACTCGAACTAAGCTTATAACTGAAGTTTAAACTCTTATGTAAAATAATATTTTCTTTCATTCTCACATTTAATATATTTAATTTTTATTATTATACAAATTCATCTGCTTTACAAAAATTTCTAGATATGTATTATGTTTATGTAGGTTTCTTTTAGAATATCAGAAATTTCTATTCGTAGCTATGTTAAACCTACTTTCTCACTGCTCTTGTATTTTATATATATATATGCACTAAGAATACTTATTTAATTCTACAATACAGTACAGTATTATTTAAATATAAATTTTTATACATAATTTAATTTGAGTGTAAATTAGATTAACCATATATCATAACAATTTGAATATCTTGTTATTGTTACAATATGCATACAATAGTTCATATTGTTTCAATAAATTTTAAATTAAATAATATATATACAAATTACATTTTAAAATATACATATTAATTCTATATTAAATTCAATCAATTATCCAATTAAATATAATTTTTACGCATTTATGTACTTGCTAATACTGGTTTTCATCAGATAATATTTATTTACATTTGAAATTTGAAAAAAAATGTATAATGTCAAATATACATCAAATATAATTATATTAATTGTATAAAAAAGTTTTAGATAAAAAGTAAATAATATATTCGAATATATTATTATACAAAGTAATAAAATACAATTTTCTAAATATTAAATTAATATTATTGAACAATAGATATTGTAAATAATTTATAGTTTTTATATAACAGGTTCTGTCTAATGTTTTCAGCAGAGATAATTATATAATTATTATATAAATCTAAATGAACACTCTTGTATATAAATGTTCCTTCAAAATTTGTATAATAGCGTTTAATTTTTATAATATGAATGTATTTTATATATGGATATGAAAGCTTTCTTAAAAATGAATTTATATTTAGGTATTTTCGCTAATTAGTAACTCAAAGAATGAAATAATGTTTCATGAATATTACGGTAATTTTCATTAACACAAAATCAGATTCTAATATTTTTATTTCATCAATTAATTTCGATAATTTCAATAATATAAAATTTTTGGATATGACATGTGTACATTAAGTATGCATTAATTATTTTATTTTATTATTGTAATTCATTACTAGTGTAATTTTCGAATGGAGCATTTGCATAGTTCTCATATGTATTTGACTTTCAATGATTGACCATTTTAGTTTTCAGTGGCAGTAAACAATTTCGTAGAGAGAACTAATTTGTAAGTCCATTTATTGCTGTCTCTGGTCGATAAATGTGCAATGAAGTTCAAAAGACAGAATTTTTGAACTTGGAATTCTAAATTCTATCGTCTAACAAGCATTGAATCTCTTTCATAATTTATGGACGATATGAAAATATAAAACACGGTTCGATTATTTATCGATCGTGTCGGTCAAAGCTGTAACATTTAATAAAATTGTAATGTCGGAAATTAAATATTCGAATAGAATAGAAAATACACATATGTTTGGACACTTTTTTTTTCTCGATTATCCTGCCATAATCTCTCGTTCTTTTGCTCGAAAGATAATTTATCCAGGGAGAGAAGAATATTTCTATTTTTTGTATACGTGAGCGTTATATATAATAGAAAATCAAGATTTGTCTCAATGATTGCAATGTTAGAAATATTTTGAACATTGTAACGAACAATTCTGGCAACAATATCGCAAAACTCGAATCGGCGTGTACAACGTCTCGTAAGAGCAGGAGAGCGGAACTCGAACTGTCTTCTCCTTCTATTTGTCGGACTGTGCTCTTATTTGCTGGTTCTTGCGTCTCTCTGCGACTCTCTTTCTCTGTCTCTTTCCTCTTTGTCGATATCTATATACATACATGTTGTTCTGTCTTTGTCTAGCTTACCTGTATACACGCGTTACTCTTTCTCTCTCGTTCAATAGGGTGAGATCGGGCCACGGACGTATTCGACAGGATTGGACCAGCCTCTGACGTCATTGCGTGGACCGACGTATCTCGTCGACGATTGTCGAAAGCATGCTGTTCTTGCGCTTCTATATATCCACCTACAGCAATCAGCGGCAAATTCAAACACACGATAAAGTTAGATTTCTCTAGAATTGCATTAATCGAACATTACTTTTTCTCGTGTCTGTTAATCATGAATTTACGATTATTTGTGAAAATTAGTTTCTCAACTCCAACGAAAGGTTATCGATTCGTGCAGTTTTTTCAAATTCCAACAAAATCTGAATTTCCCAGACAGAAGTCAGGACAGACTGGTATAAAAGTGGGAAGCAAAGAAAGAAAAGGGACGAATTATTAATTTCTTTTATGAAGGCGAAGTCCTGGTGTTTTAAATATGGATTTTTACGGGTCGTGTATTCTTTATATGTATTTCTCTCGTTTCTCTTATATATACATGTATTCTCCCATTCTTCATGTACCATCTACGTTATTGCTTGTATTCTTCGTGCTACATAGAAGTCATAATATGTTTTATAAAACCGCGGATTCAGCCACTCTTGGTGTTTACTGATATAACGTTTATTATGCAGTGCTAACATTTCATTAATACTACTACTAATTATAAGAGAAATTTCATTTTAAATAAGGAATGTCGTTTCTCCTAGATGAAGAAGAAAATTATTTTCGCTTTAATGATATAATACATAGTGAAATGTTAGTATTCCACAAAATATATTTAAAGATTCGTTCAAAAACTGATACAACGAAATTTATTACTTATATAACTAATATACACTTTTGAGAAATTCGACCAATTAAACATAGAAATGATTTTTAATATTTTTTTATGATTTTCAACAGGAGCTGCTGTGTTTCTAATACTGCTCGTAAGAACATAAAATACCCGAAAGAGAACAATAATCGACCTCGCTCAAGATGAATGACATCGAAGTCTGCGTAAGCGGCTACGTGCTCCGATGTTGAGGAACATCAGCAAGGGCGCTAGCCGCAGAAAACAGTAGAGGTTAGGTACGGCCAGGACGGTACGTTCCAGGCAGTGGAGAGAAGAGTACCCGGAGAGAGCACCCGGGCCGGGTAGGTAGGTAGATATACATAGGTAGGTAGAGCGCAGAGGCAGACGAGAAGAGACGACCGCTTGAAATCCCTTTCTCCTTCCCGCCTTTCCTGCCTGCTTCTCTCTACCGCCCGTCCGCCATGCCACTACGAGCGAGCGAACGTACAGCTAGGCCGGCACAGTCCTGTAGCCCATTTGGCATTTCCCCAGCTATAGCGGCGGTCCTGTAGCCCATCGTTGTTATCGTCCCGCAGCTGCATAAAGTCGGCTCTACCTCCCCTTACCCCTCTGACCCTCTCCCATGCTGTCGACCAACCACCCGTCCACTCCCCTCCTCATTCTGTTTCGCTCACCTCGCTGCTCGACATCAACGTTTCTTCCTCTATCTCTCTCTCTTTCTCTCTCTTCCCTTCTCTCTCTCTATTCTTCCTTCTCTCACCAGCCTGCCGACCTGATCGTGTTGCCCTCCTTCCTCCCCCCAGTCGTACCGACGCTTCGACCAATCCCCTTCCTTGTCGCCCCATGAGCTCTCGTTGTCCGCCGTTCACTTCTCTCTCCCACGAGCCTGCCAGCCTGACGTTTCCCCCACTATGTTCCTACTACCACCAACGTATCCTTATTCTACATCGTTACCACTAACTCGCACACAGATATACCATCAGCAGCATTGGTACCACGTTTCTACAGCGACGCAACGGTGGCGCCGCCAGACAGGGACGCCTCGAAACGTTTTTACCCTCCCCCCTCTCTCTCCGCCCGTCTGATCCAACTCCATATACCGCCGACGACGCCTGATGCTGCTGTGCTGCGGTATATACTCGCGCACCGTCCTTGTCGTTCTATCGATTCCCTCCCTTCCTCCTTCCTCTCTTACCCAACCCCTTCTCATCCTACTCGTCATGTGCCCCCTCTTTCGCTTTTCTCTCTGCGTCTCACTGGCAGCCAACTTGCCTGTCTGCTTGCCTGGCTTGCCTGACTGCCTTGCTCGTTTACTTACTTGCTTGCATGCTAGTCTGCCTGCTAGGTTGCTAGCCTGCTTGCTTGGCCCGCTTGCTTCGTTCAACCTCTGCGTCGGTAACCTTGGTGGAGAATAACCCGCCGTTCAATTCAAGGAATTATGACGGCCTCTCGATTTTTTCTTTTTCTATTTGCTAGCCCCTCTTTTTCGTTCTTTGTCACTAGTTTCTTTCTCCATCTTTCTCTTCTGCTTCGAGATGAGCAGAGGGTAAAGCCAGTTCTTTACTTTGCTCGTTGGCGCTCATCCGTGCTGATATTTACGCGCCTATGGGCCCCGTGCAGCGAGCGCCGCCATTACCAGAACTGCAGCCATGATGTACGAAGCGAGTTCTGCGTCGGGAGCCAAAGATTATAATTACAAAATCATTTATGATATTTTTCGAAGTTGAAACGACAAAAAAGAAACCGGATAATTTTGAAGTTGAACAAATACAGAAGAGATATTTGTCAAGTATTACGAAAACAGCGCCATCGTTAGATGATGGTGCGCACGAGTAAATTGGATACGATTCGAGGTTAGGTTCTTGTAAGACAATTCTTGCTATTCGATTTGATATTCAGCATTGAATATTCTGAAAGAAACTCATATTTATCATTGTAATAGTTTTATTCTTATTTATTGATCAATTCTATCTTTTGTAAGGTAACGATGAATAATGGTCGACCGGTTTGAAGGTTAGATAAAGAAGCTATAGCGGAAATCAACGAACATTAACGAACACAGAACGAACGGTGGCGAGTGTGCTGTTCGATCGTTAATTATAAATACCATGTATGTACCTCATAGATTCTTATTTTATGTGTGTGTATCTTGAAAATAATTGATGATTATGTTGAATACATTTAATCTTTACATTTATTTTTATTAATTTATTTGTACAATACTGTATAAAATCTATTTCATTTTCGAGCGACCGAGACAATAAGTACTTTTGCTATACTTTGCTATGTGTAAACCATAAAAGTTTGTCTTTGTTATGCTTACACATAATTAGATGCATTGTTTTCTTATTTTTAATATATGAAAAGTTTAATTTTTATATAAATCTTTCTACGATTGGTTATTCAATCTTACGTAACTATTCGTTGATTTCGAGTGTGTCATCGTGTTTGCCTCCTTTTTTTTTATCACATTATACAAACATATGTTTATTTCGCGATGTCGATCAGCATCACTCTGCATTTGTAATGTAATTACACTCGATGTACATATTCATTACAATGAAATTTACATTATCACAAAACGGCTGCGAGAAAAAGCAAAAGTTATTTCGTACTTGAACTAGTAAACGGGGAAACATGGCGTTTTAGGTTAATCCCCGTTGCTAGACATTGCTTGAACGGGCGAAGTACGTTGGCCGTATTTAAACGAAACTTTCACCGTAATGAAATTTGAATTTAATTAGGTAGAATGAAAATTTAGTTTTATTAATTATTTGAGTCGTAACTGGAAAGTAACGGCGCAATTTCGCCGTGCTCATATCATGCCGATATGCACGAGCTCACTCGTAAGTGTAGAGATCGTAGCAGAGGCATGAACATGGCCGTGATCGCGTATATTACTTCGAGGAATAGGTACAGCAATTATCGCTTCACGTTAATTTTTGGTTGCTTTATAGGTGGCTACGTTGGCGTAACCAGTCAATGATCGATCGGATGGAAATCTCGGCTACGGTATATCGGCCGGAATTAACCCTTGAGATGCACTCTATGTGTCTCACGGGCCCTTCAGTCACTTGAAATTATCGGCGAGCACGGTGAGTAATTGCACTTTCAATTGGTAAATTATTAACCCCGTCGCATCTCGTTTGTTACGTTCGCGTTTTGATTCTGTTATTGAAACCCACCGTGAGTTTCATCCTTCCTCTGTTTCCTCTTTTTTTTTATTTGTTATTTTTTCAATAATCATACATCCAACCGTATTCACCGGATTAATAACAACAACGATAGACTTTCGAGTTTCAGCTTTTTTTTCTTCTTCCTACGAATATATATTGAGCGTGTTTTTTTTTTTACGTTTTTAATTAACAAATCTATATCTTTCGTACGAACTTCGAACACTAACTTTTTAATCGAGTTCAGAATCGAGAATAGAGCATTAAACGATTTCAAAGCGTCCTATTACGTTTTATGAGGAACGTCTAGAAGTTGTTTTACTGTTGCTGATATTGAGGTTATGCGAGTACGCGGTTCAACGCTGGCTATCACAAGTATTTTAATACGCTCGTTATTCTGTTCTCTGTCTGGCGGACCGGCGCATAGAAATAGCGAACGTATACAATATTTTTTTTTTTTTCATGTTCTTGACCTTTCGGGAAAAACGATCGACCTCCGTCTCTCTCCCCACCTCTTTGCGTTCCTGTCGATGCAACCCTGTCGGGTAGAGGATGTAGGATATCGTTCGCGCGACATCAGTGTCAGTCACTTGTTGAATGTCGGCCAGCACGTACGGATGAGCATCCGGCGTGCGTCCTTGCAGTGTTTTTCGCTGCAGCCGCGCGCATTTCTCCTCTCCGTTCGTCTAAGGTGTTGTACGTTGCCTGGTAAACTTGGGTCGCCGTATAAATACCGGCGCACATTTCCACGAGGCAACCAGCCTTGTGAAATGGAAATAATTTTGTCGGGAAATATTATCGATCCTTTGAAATATAATACAACAGTAGCGTAGCACGTACTCTTCTATTTGAACAAAGTATATATCTCTTTCACGTCGAGTTAGAGTTTTCAAAAAATATAAACGCGCGTTGTCGCGAAAATGTCGGTAAATAAAATGTGCATATGAGTCGTCACGTTTTAGAGGGGAAGAATTTAAATCTATAAATCGTGTGCTGTTTATATTTCAAAGAGAGCGTATGTATATAGGATGGCGGAATGTTTGAATATGAAAAAAATATTCAAATACATTTTGTCCACAGAACGCTGTATATTACAGTTTATATATAAAATTATACGAAATGAATTCTCTTCTACTTCTGCCGGGTTATGGTTCTATGTGAACGTTATTGAAATCGTCATCGGTTTTTGATTCGGAGTTCAGCTTCAGAGGGAGACTTGAAATTGTCCATTTTCGGAAATGAACGAACATCATTCAGCTCTCGTTGATATTAAAAAAAAGATCAAATATCGAAGTTGCTAACTCAATCCTGTATTGTAAAAAAGAAATATCATTCCTCCCGCATCCAAATATGGTGTCATTTATTGTTAACAGAAAATCCAAAAACAATTTATCTATCATTACGCTCGTAAAATGCTCGATAATTCAATAAGTAACACCTATGTGCGATTCTTTTGTAATTCTTTGAACAATCTTAGGCAGCGGATTAATGTTCGTGGATCATTAGCCAATGCTAATCACGATTTTACGTCGATATATTATATATCTGTGTGTGTGTATATATATATATGTATATATATTTCGAAGGATAACTCGGTGGATTCGTTATTAATTGATTTCGAGAATGGATCGACCGCAAATTTATACGGGCAGATGTAATTCGGGCTTCTGAAATTGAATCAAGACCGCGCGATTCTATTTTTGAACGAACGTAGCGATGCACTCGGACGACGACGAGAAAACGGAGAGTTTCCGTCTTCGTCGCTCTGTACGAAACCTCGAGAGTTCACGATGACGTTCTACGATTAGAGATTGGATCGAGTAGGTATACCTCGCAAGTAAGTTCGAACCTTCAGTCCTTGGATTCGAGTCTTTCATAACTATTCCCTTATAAAATATTCAATGTAACGTAACTTGACTTGATCGCGATGAAATATTAGAAATTTTCATTCTATTCTGTTATCGTTTAAATATCATCGAGCATGAAACTTCACGTGATAATTAATGAACGAGAACATTGAAAAACAATTGACAATACGTCTTTTAGTTCGAGGAATCCTTGAATGTTACTGATGAACGATTCTTAGCCTGATAGAGATTTTCTTGCTTTAATGATAATGTATTCCTGTTTTTCAAACTTTTTCTCAAATGTTGCTGGACGAAGCTTCAGAAAATACAGAAAGAACTTGAATATCATCTTTTTTAAAATAAATCTTTTTTAATTTTATCCAGAAGCCAGAAAAAATTCATTTCACTTAATAATAGAACCTAATTTCATTCGAAATCGAAAATTCATTCTAGTATAAAATCAATGCATTGTGAGTGCATCAATTGAAATATTTTTACTTTCGAGTAGCATTTGAAACTCATACCTTGACTCGGATTTGCAAGTACACATTGAACTTGATCCCATGTCCCTATCTACGATGTCTCTGCTTTTACAGCAGTTACATTGATGACGAGGAACGTGAGGATTTTACAACTGGAAAGATTAAGCGGGATCCACGGCTGATTTTACGATTACGTTAATGATCCCGTCTTCCTCCCTTCCTTTCCACTTTCGGCGAATTAAATCTTAACTCTCTGCACTGTTTGCGTCACAGGGTAGTTCAACTCGGGCTTCCAGCGACGAAATTTCTGTCTCGTCTGTCGAAAACGCCGGGTTCGAGTTTACGTAAGAGAAATTTCAATCGAGATAACGTGTTCGATATTCGTTTAATTAACCCGAAAGCTTGTGTCTTAACGCGAACGTTGTATCGTGACGTTAATTGCGCCTCTTTTCGCGGTGTATTCCCTTGACAAAATTTACGCGATGAATTTAAGAGAGTTCCCGATCTATTATTCGATTGAGGAGATTCGAACTTTGAACCAACACTGACGCAACGTTCATGATAATTTCCTTTTGAATGAAGCGAACGTCAGACCAAGTGCATCTTTTTTTCTATATTTTTTCATCTAACGCTTCCTCTCCTCTACGCTTCGTAATAGTCGATTCATATTAAAGATCAAATCAACGTTTGTACGTTTCGAATCTTTTTTAAATAATTACTAGGTTGTGAATGCTGCAGGAGATTCAAAGATACAAGAAAAAAAAATAGTATAAACAAGATAAAAGTACATATGACATACAGAATACACTGCGCGATATAATTATTTAGAGGCTGAAAAGTATCTTTGCTTCGCCCCTTATTGCTTTCTATTTAGTTTCGTTTGTAAAAATGTGAATTTTCGTAAATATCCACGGATCTAGTAATTATTTTTATAATTTTCCGCGCCGCGTCTCTCCGCGTGTCTACGTGTCTTTCTCTCCTCTCTCCTTTTATTAATTGCAACGCATCAGAATTTACGAAATGTTCGTGTTTCATGTGAAATATGTTCCCATTCCTTTTAAACAGGACTTCATTAACTAAAGCGTTAACGGTTTGGTTAATTTAAATAATTATATCTTTATCTCCGGGGGAAAATCACAAAGCTTTGAGCTTCGTTCTCGTAGAACAAATCCAGGAGATCTCGTTTTTATAAATTTCCTGTGTTTCGTGGAATTTTTTTAAACGACACGTTCTGTAGCTTGTCTTTTGATAAATTATTTAAGTAGTGGAAAGAATAGTAGTTAATTGAGTATTAGCCTGTAGCGTGTAATGGAATTTCATTCAGCTTTTACTTTCAGCTAAACGTGTGTTAGGTATGTATGTGTGTATGTATGTATGTATGTATATATGTATGAATGTTACTACGGGGAGAAAAGGTGAAACTCTCTGTTGTTAATGTTGCTTGTTCCACCCCCGACAAAGGGATATACCGTATTTTGATCTTTATTTCCGTTAAAGGAGAAACATTGCAAGCAAATAAAACTTTTATCGTAAATATTACAGAGCTACAATTCCGACGAATATTTCACGTATTTCGCGACTTAACATCGTAATACACTGAAAGATGCTTTACAATTGCGTAAGCAGTTTTATAAATTTATAAATATGAAGGAATAAAGGAATATACGATTTCTTTTATAATTTGTATGTTCACGCAATGAATGTGTCTTTTAATGATAAATATATAACTTATATGTACATATTAGCTATGAATTTTGGAAAATGAAGAAATAAGAGAATACACAATTGTTTGTTTCTTTCTTTCTTTCTTTCTTTCTTTTCTTTTCTTTTCTTTTCTTTTTTTTTCTAATATAATCCATAGTAATCCAGCTTATTTTTCAATATATAATAAATACTTACTGATTTTAATATTGCGTCTTCTCTTGTTTAATTTACCGCCGATGACAAATTGTGACTTTCTTGCATTTATTTGAATGAATAATGTTCACCTGAATGAAGAGTAATGTACAAAGCAAACTCGTTAATTATGACCGAGACCTATGATTTCCTACTTAAGAATTTTCATAAACTACGAATGCGTTATATTCAAGAAAGTCGTGTATCATTCTAACCTGTTCACAAAAATTTTTTGCAACTGTCGGTACATTTACCTAAGACTATCTCAATACACTTTCTTTAATACTAATTCTTTCAATTTCAAAAATTTCTACGGCGTTTCCAGCAAAGACAAAAATCAGTTTTATTCTAACTGGTCGGGTAGTTCTAGCATTAACTTAAGTACCACTGCAGTGCACATCAAACTAAATGCGAGACCTTAACATAAATTACATTTAGGAGTTCCAATCATCGAACGTTCGATGGAAACAGTCGTGACACGTCGGATCAACCAGTCGATTAAAATAATGGTGACGCTGTCTCGCTAATGTACACCTCGATAATCCATAACTTTACCAAACGCAACACTAACGCGTACCTGGCACGATACGATAATTATGTATCGACGAATCGACTGGTCTATCGGTGAACTGAGAAACTTATGGGGTGGGGGCAGAGCGTTGTACTTATTTGAAAGGAAAGGGGGTTGCTGGGATTTTTAGCTAATTACGGGAGTCTTTGTCCCTTGTTTTGTAGGTGCAAAGTGGCTTAACCGCGGCTTTAAAGGATTCTATTGTCACCGAGGGTTGCACTTGTTTGCTGAAGTCGACCTTATTCCGACTCGTCCGCTTTTTCAAGGTATATGTGCGTAGACAGGACGAGAGAAGGGACTGCGTAACACGAGCTCGACTTTAATGTGACCTCATGACCCTTTAAAAGGAGACAACCTCTTCCCTGCGACGCGAACTTTGATTTCCTCTTGCAATCGCGTAGATGGATCCCGAGCGACGACGGATTTTTTTTCTTTGTCGAGAAATTGTGACAGATTTTTAGCGACATTATTTTTGCAGGCTACCGATGCGAGGGAAACTTTTCGTTATTTGTGATTTTTGCTATTAAAAAAGTGAGGATTGGTTAAGAACAAAATAGATCAGTCAACTTTAAAAGTACCCTTGAATTTGATTCAGCGTCAGTTAATTATCATTATTATTCGTCTATTACAGCTTCGCAAGAACAAGTTTTCCTTGGCGTTAGTAATCAATTTTTAATTTTTTGGCGAATTAAGAATTACTTACTTTCACAGAAACGGAGAATTCATCGATTTAATAATGAACCAGATATTAAGTAAGAAAGTAGATGTTCCTTCTTGAAATTTCAACCGTTTTTCCACTGAAATCAACGGTTTCATGACTAAAGGCCTAAACTTTGAAATGCTGCACGACCTACCTGATGCGCAGGGGTCGAGCATTTACTTCGAAATATGGGTGCCCACTGGCATTTGTAGTTTAAGTTCAGAGAGCCGGGTTCAAACAGGTCTGAACCCTCGGTCCCATGGCCCATTATCCCAGAAGGGCCTTGGAAATTCCATTGGCCTGGTAGAATTGGTGGAGTCGAAACTTTGTGTCCCTGCATCCGGTGTGGCCTCGACTCAAAAGATGTTTCACGTGTATAAACTTTGGAGTAATATATTTAAGCCTTCGTCTTCTTCTGGTTCTTCGTCTATGAATTACTTTGGTTGAAAGAATGCGCCGAGATCATATTGATTGATTTAGGAAACATTCATGTGACCAATATAACTCTGATCTCTCTGTCGTTTGTTTCTTAATTAGAACATTAAATTTCTGTCAAATGAATTGGAATGCAAGGAGTAAAAGAAAGTTCATGATAAAATGACAAACACAAACTTTTTTTTTATGTATTTCATCATTTAAATTATTCGAATTTCTAAAGATGCACTCCCTACGATATTTCTGCGAAAAATTACAAATTAGTCGTTCTGATCACTCTGATAGTTCTAATTTTAATGGGGATTGTTACGAATAATTTCTTGTTTCTTATTTTTTTGTCTAATCCTTTCTTTTTATGTCGCTAACTGGTTTTTTTTTACGAATATATTGTAAATTTAAGTATACGTATTGTAGTATAATACGGCTCTCATCTCTTCGTTATTTATTTCTGCATTAATAGTTTTTTATTGCATATTTTTTGTTATATTTTCATTGATGTTTTGAAGCGTAAATTTAAGTGTATATATTAGGAGCGAAAGAGATCATTAATGTTCTTTTAGAATATAGTAAAATGAAATGGTTTTGCTCTGAATTGTAGGAACTGTATAGCTTTGTCTTTTTTCGGATATTTCCAGCAAAGTAGAATCAAGATTTAATTCGTGCCTGATTTTAAGGAAACAGATAGCTTGAGATTAATGTCGAGATTAATGTTTCGATTATTTTTGATCTTATGTCTTGAACAGTATATCTTGATTAATTTACTCGAATAATTCCGTTTTTCGGAACTATATACGTAAATTATTATTGTAAAAATTCATTACTTACAATTTCTTAACAACTTTAAGAGAAATATCAAGGAATTCGTCAGTAACAATTATTCCTTAGCAAGTTTTTCGCTTTCATAATAGCTGTATATAATAAATTAAAGAATTCAGTAGTATGTAATACTAATTATTTAATTTTACAAAAACAGTATACTGTATCTAACAATATTTTCAATAACTTGATTTAGTTCTCAAATGTGACGTACATACATGCGTCTGTATATGATGAGGATATTATATAATACTTTTTTTTCATTTCGTTGATTCAAAGAGCTAAGGAATATTTCTGATGCAAATTAATATGTTTATGTAGCGTTAAATGATGACCTACCGTTGAAACATTGAAAAGTTAAGACACTTAGCGATGATACAAAGACGAACTCGCTTATCACTGTGCAAACGTTTGCGCGCGAAGTGAGAACTAGGACGCGGCTCGCGGGGAAAAAATCACTCGTGTCACCGTATTACGTAGCGACTACCTGTTCTTTACGTAATATGTTACCATGGTTGTGTCTCAGAAATCTGCAAGAAACGCTGGACATGTTTCTTCGTAACAAATGATAGAATAACACCAATTTCATTTCCGCCATTATAACTCAAAATTATTTTATTCTATTCTATTTCTTTTTATTCGTTTTATTAAGTATCGTTTTCTTTTATAACTAAGACTAAAACTCGAAGTCTTAGTGTTTTGCAAGCGTTAGATTGGAATTATGATATCAAAATCTTGGAGAAATTATGTCCTGACAAAATTAAAGAACGTACGTGTTGAATTACGGCAAATATTAATTTTATTATCATTTGACGTTATATGTCATAAGTTGTCATAAAAGTTTCGCGGTTTTTATAGAACAAAATAGTGAAATTGTTGTATAGATCGATTACTTTATGGTTTAATCAACACGTGGATATTTATATTAAATTTTCTGTTGTTTATTTATCGTTGTTTGGTCTTACGCGTGTTATAAATGATCCCGCAAGATTTTGAGCATAGTATTTACAAGAATATACACTTTACTTTTTGCATAAAAATATCGAAGAATAATTCAATAGAATAAACGTCGATTGTTTTCACGCGATCTTTTATACGACGTTGAACAGTTCATTGTCTTCTCTTTTTTCGTATATTTTATTTCTTCTTACGCGATCGTACGCATTAGGGTTAGTAGGGTGCACCACTTTGTGTCACCATCTTGATTCATTACGCAGGATTCCCTGATTCGTGACTGGCGGTCGTTAGCACGGGAGCCTGTCCGCGCTTTTGATGAATTATTATTTTTTTTTCCATTAATGCTCATTCCGACGTTCCATGCAATGAATACGAAATGCGCTCGGTTCAATCCGAAATATACGCGTGCTGAAATAATTTATTAACCGCGTGGAGCGCGGGATATCGCGCTGTGCAAAAAAAGATTTTAATATCCCACCGTGTCGAATTAAAAGAAAAGGCTCTTAAACAAACTTGAAATTTACCGCGAAAGGAAGAAATCTTTATTTACGCGGTATTGTTAAACGTTGATTCTTTTCCTTTCATTTTTCAATCTAGAGACACCGAAACATTTATTAAACTCGATCGAAAGTCGATGAAACAATAATTCAAAACGGGCGAATTTTTCACTCGAGTCGAAATCGCTAGCGATCGATTTGTACGAGCCGATCTGTTATCGTAAATTCTCATTCATCCGGCGGCAGTATTCGAATCAAGCCGGTCGGCACGCGTAAATCCGAAATTTAGTTTTAATCTGAAAGAACAGAGGGAGAAAAAATAGAAGAGAGAGAGAGAGAGAGAGAGAGAGAGAAGAAAAGGATTACAGAAAAGAAAAGAATCGCAGTTCTTCGTCATGCTTAACCGCGGCAATTTTTCAGGAACACTTTCTGGGTCAGAGAATTTTCTTTCCGGCTTTGCTTGCCACGCGGTAATTGCATCGTAGTCGAAAAGTCAATTTAATTAAGGAACAACGAGCGGTTGATGCAAGGCAACGAGATCACTTGAAAAAGAAAAAAAGAAGAAGAAAAGAATGTTTAAATTTTCATAGAGGCCGCTTTAAACCCTCAATTTTCTGCCAATAATATCGTCAACCCCTCCAGCATACTGCCGCCCTCGTACAACTTTTCTCATCGTGGATAGACCGAAAGATAACGATATTCTTTCTCTTCGAATTAATTTCGAAGGACCCTTAAAGACCGGCTGAAACTAGCCGGGAACTAGCTCGAAACTAAATAAAGCAGGGCGAACCCCCGGAAGAAAGGAAGGGTGGTATAATTTTTGCAAGAAGCCGGTTTCTACCCCTCGAGGGGGCGATGACGTCACGCCAAGAGAAGGTGACTAGTTTCACCGAGAGGAAAGTTTCCCGTCGATCGCGTCCCCCTATGTCGGTAAAGCAGCAGTGGCGGCCAGGCAGGAAGTTATAAGGGGTAGAGAGGAATCCCCCTTTTTAGGGTGGTCGGTTTTAGGGCGGCTGTTGGGAATCCCGAGGAGCTTCTCGAAGGGGAGTTTTTTTGCCGCGTTTGTATTCTCGCGCGGCGCCGAGGGGGCGCTTTTTAAGCACGGTCGACGTGGTAGGACTGCAACTAGAAATCCAGTCTTTAATCTGCGTTACCAATTTTTTTTTCTTCCTCTTTTTTCCTCGCTCTAGCACGAAGCAAGTTGGGTTTAGATTTGCGAGATGATATTAACGAGCAGCGTGATCGATATTTCTTGAATTCCGTACATTGTGCGCGAGAAACAATTGCGAGTCTAACTTTCAAACTAATGGAAATTCACAATTAATTGAATGAATAGAAGCAGATAAAAGTTGTTCGCGTCACGTTGATGATCGTACGATGAATCGATCGATAAATCGTTCCTGCTGGATTCCTTTGCCACTAATGAATATGAACGGAACTCGATATTTCCAAGCTACAGTGTATTTTGCGCAAGTTGAAACTATTTGTGTAGAAAGTCAAATTTCTCAGAAACACTGAAAGTAGTCCGATAACCAGTCACAGCTACAAATTTCCAAAAATCCTCTGGAAACAAGCTCGCAGTCCTTTTTCCCGAAAATCGTGCACAGTGGACGTGTACGGGGAGGAAAAAAGTTCCTTATTATATCCGGCACGAGCAAGAGAGGGCGAGGCCTTGTAACTGTTGTAAATTCTCTGGGGTTGCGCGCGGTTCACGAGCTAGTTGGACTAATTTTGTCTGGTGTAGCTGAACGAGAGCTGTATTAGAATAAACCCGTTTGCCCGAAATTGCAGCGTATCACGTACGGGCGCGTCGCATGCCCGCGCGTAATCTATGCATCGGCGCATCTTCTCTCTGGCAATAACCTCGTCACTGGAAAAGGGGGGGGGGGGGCTTCCTCCTTGCATTTAGGGGCTCCACCAAACGGCATTGCTATCCACGTGAAACTGGCTTCTTGTAATTTTCGATATTGTCGAGGGTTATACCGTATCTTTCTTGAAATTCCCGCGATTCGCGACTCTCATTCGTCTCATTTCCGCGTCTCTTCGGCAACGTCCCCCCTAGGAGCAGTCTGCTAATGTGTGTTATTCGTAGACCATCGTGCAATCACGTTGGATTTGTTAGTTGGAAAGTATTAATCATATAGTTTTATCGGGATAATTAAAGGTCCAGAAATATCAACTTTCGGTTTCTACGATGCTTCCAGGATAATTTCATCGTTTCGTGTTAACGTGTCTCGTTTGTAGATCATTGCAAAATGGCGTAGATCGGTGACTAGAAATATTATAGAGCGTGTTGCTCGACTATAATGAAATACAAACGCTGTTTCGAATAAAAAGTTATTCGATAAATTCACAAGAAGCTGTGGCTATATTTAAATAAATTTTGCAATCCGCGAACCGGTTTCTCAGCGTTAACTTTCATCATCTTTCGGTGAAACCATCCATCATCAGCGGAGGTTAATACGCGATAAGATTAAGCATTAGACAGCGCGCCAGCCTTTTTATTTCTCCGAGAAATCGATACGACGGTCGACGCTGGTCATGAAAGAAAGAAAAAAAAAAAAAAAAAAAGAAAGGAAGGAAAAAAACGGATTCGTGACGCGGAAGCGTTTTGTCGCCGTTCGTACCGGCGGCGGTCAACGACTTAAATATTACGAAAATCGATACAAATGCGAGAGATCGCCGGTTCGAAACGTACAGCACGCGACACGCTGCTTGCGGCTTTAGATTCTTGGCATCCTCCTCCTCCTCGCGTTTCCCGCGCAGGCTTTTAGATTCTCTCTCCCTCTCTCAGGCTGCATCCACCGTCATCCGAGGCAAGAGAGGATTCGAAGTTGCATAATTAATTTTTCTATAAATCTCTCGCCAAGGAATATCGCGAAATTTCCTCCCCGGGTAATATCAGCGGAGCTTAGCGGGCAGAGGAGGGAAAGCTCGAGGAGGGAAAATTTCCCCTTCCTCGTGTGCCTGGTAGCGCACGAGGGGCTAGGGCGAGCCAAAGAGAAGGAGAAAGAGACGGAGAGAAAAATCAAGAGAGAGCGAGAGAGAGGGAGAGAAGCGACAGAGGGTGGCAAGGAACAGAAGCAGAAAAGGAAAAGATCGAGGCTGGCTTGCTCCGATCGTGAACGAGAGAAAGAGAGAGGTGGAGAGACGAGGTTAAGATGAAAAAGAAAACAGGGAAAGAGAGAGAGAGGGAGAGAGAGAGAGAGAGAGAGAGAGAGAGTGAGGGAAGTAGAGTTGCAGGGTGGAAGAGGGAGATAGACTGGGGGTAGATGGAAGTTGAATCGGGAGATGCTTCTTCCACTCTGGTCTTTCGCGTCCTCGGGTGCTCCGGCAGTACGATTCTACGGAAGGAAATAATATTCTTAATAGAATATGAGAAAGCGTGCATTTTCTGAAGATACTCGCGAACGACTGACTACATTTTAGAATCACAATTATTTCTGGATCTAGCTGGTCGGAATGACGGGAGAGGGGAGGGGTAGGTGGGTGGGTGGGTGGGTGGGGTTGGAGGGGAGAGGAGACCGAGAGTCTCTAGACGAGCCGGGAACTTTTACCACGGGAAAGTCACTCCGGCGGGCTTTTTATTCTCATCGATAACACCGGATTAGGGCAATGGAATTAACGTTTCTTTCGTTTCGCCCATTATCGTCGTCCCGTGGCTCGCGAAAGGCGGCTCATATTGAAATTAAGGGAAAGAAATCCTTTCTGCAAGATTGCGTTCCCTTTAGAGAGCAAGAACGAGATCTCCGATCGAGAATGACCGAGTAGCAATTTCGACGCGTGTAACATTTTCCTTGAACCTTCTTTCTCTTATCCTTTCTTCCCTTTTTTCATTTAGAACACACTTTGATAGTCGACGCCTCGCCGTATAATTGACCCGCTGACTCATTAACCCTATCACGCCAGGACCCGTTGTAGACTCGATGTCACCCCGATTTTCGCCTCGTTTCATTTTCACCTTTTTCTCTTCTCTCGTTTTTTCCCCTCTCATCTCTGGCTGTTCTGGCCGCGCGTCAGCCTTCGTTCATCCGT